ATTGGGTCATAGGGTACATCCCAATATTCCGTACACACCTTTGTGTTGTTGTCTACTCCTGAGCTGGCAGCTGGCCGAGGCTGCTTGGAGAACGGCTCTTCTCCAGGGCCCGGAGTTTCCTTGACGACTGTGCGCGTCACTGATGCCGAAGAACTGGATGCATCCGTAGAAGGAGTTCGGGGTTTGTGCAGCTTCTTGTAGACCCCCAGCTTCCTCTTGAGCTGCTTCAGCCCCACCGACGTCTTCCCTGGGGAGCGGGTAGTCGTTATGGGCTGGTGTCGGGAGAGGACGTTGACTCCGTGGAAAGGTCGGCTTCTTTCCACACTCCTTAATTTGGTCCCCAAGTTGTCCGGTACCGGTATAATCTCCACAGCTGTCTGCTTCTTTTGGAGTCCCTCCCGAATTTTCTCCAAGGCTCTAGCCCCTCGAATATCATAAGTTTTCATTAAAGCATCTTTATAAGATAACTTTAACGAATTCTTATAATTTCTTGGGTCTTCAAGGAGTTTCCCCGTCTCGGCAGAGTCTTTTTTCGCGGAGTCGTAATTTTCCTCGGCGATTTTCCCTGGCGAAGACTGGTCGTGGGGTGGAGATTTTCCCCCATCATTTCCTCCTGCTCGCGTCGAATCAGCTTCGTCGAAGTTGATTTTCTCGGAATCCCGCGGCCGTTTCCGGATCTTTTTATTTTCGCCAGCTAGATCCGCAATCACTGGCGACTCCCGTTTTTTGTCTTCTGATTGGCCGGAAGATTTCCGCCACTGTTGCGTGCCCGATACTCTGCGCGTGCGGCCTTCATTTTGTTGCAGTCGAAGATTCGGTGGCCCGGCACCTCGCAAAAATCACACGTCTAGTTGGTATTTTTCGGACGTGGCCGCCCCTCGAATCTGTCGACTTCCATCGGGTCGGCGAACGTGGGGTGAGCCGAGCGGTCGCCATGTCGCGTACTGCCGACGTGCGTCCGTCGTGTTCCGGCGTTGACCATGTCGAAGCGCTCCGCGGCCGAAACGACGTCACTGTAGCTCGCGTAGTTTGACGCTGCCACCTGTCGTTTGACTTCGGTCTTCAGCCCGGCGAGGTACGATTGTACTTTTTCCCCTTCGGTCAGGTCGGGAATGCGGTTATAAAATTCCTCCATCTGCTGCGTGTACTGTGCTACACTCCCGAACTGTCGGTGTCGATGAATTTTTTCGCGGGCAAGGAAACCTGAATTTATCGGTTCGAAGCGTTTCAGCAGGTCGGCGCGGAACTGCTGCCACGTGGCTTCACCGTGGATGAAAGTACTGTTGCCGCCAATCCACTCGAGTGCTGGCCCTCGCATCAGTGTCGCCGCGAGTCGTACACGTTGACCGTCCCAGACTGGCGAGCTCCATCCGACGGCTGCGAAGTAGATCTCCATCCCGGCGATCCATCTGCGGGCGTCGGAGTTTCGATCGCTCGGATCGAACGGCTCAGGTGGGCGCGGTTTCGGAGCCTCGAGAAACTGCTGCGACTGCTGCGTCGTCGCCGTTGTCGTCTCGTGCTGCGCTCCGGCGAGTCGAGTTACTCGCTCGAACTGGTTTCGCCACGCTTCGCGATCCGCTCGCATTTCCTCCTGAAGGGCTGCGATGCGCGCGAAGAGCTGCTGGGTAACCTCGGCGTTGTCGAAGGTTGCCATCCTGTTCAAAACACGCACGGAGGGGGTAATTCGAAAATCGCAGAGCTGGTGCTTACCAGAATCGGCGTCGAATTAGTCGCCCCCGGCGGTTTTTCGAGGCAGGATCCCCGCTGCTGCTGCTTAGCTGAGCGCGGCCGAGTGAGAAAAGCTCTGATTACCAAGTGTCACAGGATCGGATGTGTCGAGGAAAGGTTGCACTATCGATCGGTACAAGGCGCTTTTATACTTCCTGAATACATCAGGTAACCAGGTTTATCTTATCCTAAGGGAATAGACCCTTCTAGAAGATAGAATCACCCTGCGTATAGCCACGCGAGGCTATTGGCTTTAAGGGATTACAGCAGGATTACGCTAGATAGCGTGTCTAGAACATTCCATGCCTGGTCGGTGATATAATAATAATAAAGGAAGAAACCAAAGGATAATGGAAAATGGGGAATATGAGGCAAAAGGAGGTGAGATAAAAAGAGGAATGAAATGAAGATGAAATATGGAAAAGGCCAAGTGGTGTAACGGAGTCGTACTCTCACACTGGGGGGACGCCCTCACCGGGCGGGGGTGCAGTGTCAAACGTAAACAGGCCGGACACAGGGTCCCGGGGGAACGTGGTCAGAGGAGCACCAGTGGCGGTCTCGGTGTAGACAACATACCGTTCGTGTCCGGGGAACGTAGCCGTGACGCCGAGGTCCTGAAGACATCTGACACCAACTAGGTTCCAAGAAAACGAGGGGATGTGTAGGCCTGTAAGAGTGCCAGAGGGGACCACCGGACAGGGAAGGGTGGTGGAGCTACGTGCAACTACCGGACCTGAGGAGGGGTCTGCAAGTGCGACGGCAGCAGGGGTGGCAAGCGACGTAAGGGAAGTATGGTCGCGGAAGAAGCAGGTAGACGCACCAGAGTCAAGCGTGAAGGTGAGCGAAGCGCTATCGGCAGCTGGCACAGGGGCTAGCGCGGAGCCTAGGCTAAACAAGGTAGTCGGTCCTACACCAGACGCAGCAAGAGAGCCTAGACTACACACGGTGGAGACAACTACGCTAGGCAACACCGGGTAATAGGGTCCAATCACACTAGAGTCATCAGCATACATGACTGACATAGCATTCCTAATCTGATCCATGTCAAGCTCAAAGACCGGCACACGACGGCGAGCCAGGGCTTACCATTCCGGAGGGTCCGACGCAGGACCGAAACGGTGGCGGAACAGGTCGTCCAGGCGGCGGTAGTTGTGATCGGCAATGTGGCAGGGCCAGAGGCAGACAGTGCCGCGGTGAGGGCCGGTCTGAAGCTGGTACTGGCAAGTGACCGCGCTCGAGCTGCTACCTGACACTGAGCTGCGGCCGCCCCCCCAACGACCACCGCCGCTAGCGCCGCCAGTCCACCACGGTGGCGGGGGTCCCCACGGCGACTGCTGCTGCTTTGACGACTGCTGAGTCTGCTGCTGTTGCTGCTGCTGAGGCTACGTCTGCTGCTGCGGCTCCTCCGGGGTACCAGCCCCGGTCCCCTCGTCTGAACCATTGTCCCTGCCCTCATCGCCGCCACCCTCCCCATTGCCACCCCCCTTCCCCCCACTACGCCCCCCTTTGGGGCAGCAGCCCTTACCCGGACGCTTCTGCACTGAGGCCGCAGCAGCGGTCTCAGCAAGACAGCAGCAGAGACGTCAGAGTAAGTGCACTGGGAGGGAGCACAGCCCTGAAAGATAGGTACCGCCGCAGTTCCGCTAGACTGAGCGATACTGCATTGGCGGGTCTCTATCTCGGACAGGGCAGTAACAAAGGCGGTAAGAGTGAGGTCACCCGGGTGCTGACTAAGGAAGTGGTCTCGTGCTGTGGCTAGGCGGTCAAGGAGGCGCGTGGCGATGAGATAAAGGGTAGCGCAGGGTGGCGGCGGGAATGCAGTGAGCTGTGCCTCGGTACTGGCAGCGCGGTAGCTCGTCTCAAGCGCGCAGAGGTGCGTGGCAAAGTCAGCGACAGTGGGGAAGGACGCAAGATCAGGGAAAAGCATGGGAAGGATCAGGCGACCAGCAGAGGAAGTGGTGGGAGTGGAATAGCGCGCAATGACAGCATCTAAGAAGTCCTGGGCGTTCGCTACTGTGGTTTAGCGATGACGCTCAGACAGCGGGAGCGCATGGCTGATAGCAAGCTGTGCGACATCGTCGCGCGAGTCTCAGACGGCACGAGCAAGTGCAACAACGGAAAAGGCCTCACGCTATGCAGTGGTGGGGGCATCAAGGAGGGCAGCAGGTGCAGGGGGGCGGGAAAGCAGGCTATCGACATGAACAGCCAGGGAGTGACCGTCCTGGCGCTGATGTGTAAGGTATCGTCGAAGGTCGACCAGCCACGCCTCAAAGTCGAGCGCCCGACCCTCTGCGTCCAGACCGAGTTGTGACCCCGCCATCGCCACTGCTGCAGCTGCTGACGGCCGCTGACAGAGTGAGGAGGACAAGTGGAGAAAGCGGTGGAGAGTGGTGGAGTGTGGTGGAGAGTAGTGGAGTGCGGTGTAGAGTGGTGGAGTGCAGTGTAGTCCGGTGGGGTGCGGTGGAGAGCGGTGGAGTGCGGTATAGTGCGATGGAGTGCAGTGGAGAGCGGTGGAGACAGTCGGCAGGGGAGCCAGTGCTGAAGGGAGCGAAAGCCGGGGGGTCAGCGTTGTGACTCGATGGCCCGGCGGCTGGCCGCTGAAGCGGGGGGCGGCTAGACTGGAGCCGGCTGGCGAGGGCCGACGGGGCGCACAGGGCCGGTAGGGCTCCAATGGAGACGGCGGGGCACTAAGAGGCCGGCGAGGCGAGCAGGGCCAGAGGGGCGCACGGGACCGACGGGGAGCTAACAGGGCCGGTAGGGTGCGAACGGGCCGGCAGGGCGCTAACAGGCCGGCAGGGCGCTAACAGGCCGGTGGGGCGAGCAGGGCCAGAGGGGCGCACGGGGCCGACAGGGCGCGAACAGGGCCGTCAGGACGCTAATGGGTCGGCGGGGCGCTAACGGGCCAGCGGGGCGAGCAGGGCCAGTGGGGCGCACGGGGCCAACGGGGCGCTAACGGGGCCGATAGGGCGCTAACGGGCTTGAGGGGGCGCACGGGGGCGACGGAGCGCTAACGGGGCCGGAAGGGCGCTAACAGCCAGTGGGGCGCACGGGGCTGACGGGGCGCTAAGGGGCGGCTAGGAGCGGGCGGCTAGGACTAGGAAAAAGTAACTAGAATGAGGCATACATGTTTATTTTGTTCAAGTGGTTGTACCTTCTAAGAGCATCACCTATCTCCTTACAAAAACGCAATAAGCATGTTGGCTTGTTCTTGAAGCCAAGTGCTGCACGTCTGTGAAGCACCTCAGATTGTGATGCTCATGTTGAGCACATTAATGTCACATGCCCATTTACTCTCTTATATGGTGTACACAAATGCTCCTAGCATAGACCTCTGGTATTAGGTGTTCATGCAATTGACTTCTGTCTCGATTTCTTCATTATCATCCGGTTCCGTGCAGCCCAATGAAACACCGTCTCATGGTCTCTGTCATTCCCGCGAATTCCTCCCCTTCCCCAAACAAAGGGCTGGGCGTCTGTCGCATGGCTTTCATTCCCGCTATTGTACACCCTTGTAGGCGGTACAGGAGTCGCAAATGTCGGAAACGACATATCACTAGGGTATGAATGGCATCGTTGCGGAGTACACCCTGATGGTGTCATTTCGGCTCCCCACAACTCCCGCGTTGGACAATTAGTAGCACCTCTGCTGCTGCCGAAACTAGTTGAGGAATAAATTAGGGTTTGGGTGCTCGTGAGGGTCATATAATGTGGTAAGGCAAGCTCCTCAGATCGATTATGGGCGCTTGGGTCGTGGTGGTGCCGCGGGGACGTCGCCTTTCCAGCTTGAAGGGAAACACTGCTTGTTCTGCCCAGCATTCCGGCGAAGGTTGAGCCGTGAGTTCCGCGAAGAGTCGCATGGCTACCAGGATGCGCGGCACTTGTTCTGTCCAGCGTCAAGCCGGATGCGTCGCCGCTGCTGCTTTGCCGCGCCACCGCTGAAGTTTGCATCGCACAGGCAGTCGCAGCCTGCGATTGAGTCGCACGGAGTCCGGCTCCAGGTCCGAGGAGTCGTTTCTTAGCCTCGCTATTCGCCTTTCGGAGACGCGCCCACGAATGCGGCCCCTCGCGCGCGTCTCTCTGCAGCGCCGCAAAGTGCGCCGCGTGCTGCTGCGGTGACCGTTGGGAGTTACTGGCACCAGAAACGATACTACTGTGTTGATGCTCTCCTCTAGAATCGTCGATCGACATAGCACCGATAAAATTTATTATCTTCAAAGCAAGGAAGAACGAAGACTGTCAGCACGAACTGTGTGCTGCCAGCTGCATTGATAAATGGAGGCCTGATCATCCCCGCAGTAAATTATGACTCGGAGTCATACTAATTTTGAGCCCTTCAAAGCCGCGATCACCGGTTGTATTCGTCCGACTCGGACAGAATCGAATCATCCCGGGGAGGCCCTTGCCAAGAGCCGCGTGTCGGCGTAATGCGACAATACTAGTACAGTTGGCGACAGCTACTGGTCATAGTCGCACTAATAACGCGGCTGTTTCAGACAGCGTCGTACAGAAGAAGCAACGAGCTGAGGGCGTGTAGCCTAAGGTTTCGGAACTGAGATCCGTTCTTGGGTGAAGTCGGTTACATTATTCAGCAAAACTCGCATGTATTCTCGCCAGCTCTCTCGCGAACAATTCACGAGTTCCGGAACTCGTACTTCCACAGCTGTCCGGGCGCTAGTTTCGAACGGTCGTCCGGACGTCCGTTCGAAATTCTCCCTCCAGTTCCAGCAAAAAGTGTATATGAATCCCGGGGGGAAAAAAAACCGAGACATATTGACGATACCGTTACGCCGCGCGCCAAATCGAGCAATATTTGAGCAGAGTGGGTTGTAGACGACGAACGGGGCGGCTCCAGCTTCTGATTGTTCTTGTTTGTGATAGGATGCAACGTTGTATTATTCGTCATTTCGCGTGGGGGGCTGTCGCATGTCGCTCACGCGTTTGAACATAGGAACTTCGAGTTTCGGAACTCGAGGTTCTGTCTGTGGACAGATTGCCTAACCGAGTTTCGAAACTCGGGGTTCCGTACGCAAACGGCACTGACGGTGAGGGAACCCAGTTCCGGAATTGGGCCCACGAAACCTTAGGCTACACACCCTAAGAGGTAGAGCTGGTCCTTGGGGGAAGGTGCCAACCAGGGACAATAGACTTGCTGAGGTCAGCAAACAGTGTTACTATACACTCAGGCACTGTAACCTTGTTGCCCGAGTCAGTCGCCCCGTGTTCTTGGGCGGCTAGGACTGAAAGGGTCCCGACACTTCGCGCACCTCGCCACGGGAAAAATGGGATTGGTGTGTGTTGAAATGTTACCGCTTTTGGCATACGCGGATTGCGACGGGGGGCTGAATTTGTACATTTAAAAATACCTGGGGGCTAAATTTGTACTTTCTGAATTTGTAGTTTCCCAAATCCCGGCGGACGAAATATGACATGCTGTCATGGCTGGCGAGTTTCACTGTTGCCGTTGTCTTCTCTGAGAGCAGTGCGGGCCATGTTCTAGAAACGGGGGTGCGGTTGCCCGTGCTAGAAACAGAAGTGATGCGGGAAGCTTTTGTGAGTGAACCGGGACGTGACTGACTCGGGCAACAAGGGTAATAGATTACAGTTCCGTTCTAGAGTTTACCTAGAATCAAACCGTATCCTGGCATGTTGCCAGTTTCTTGGCACCACCGTCTCCGTTACCTTATGCGTCCCATGTCGAACTGACGTATCGAATGATATTAGTGGTCTCCAATCCCTTGTAGTGACGGCTCCTATACTACCAGGGCGGAGCCTGTTGTCTGCTGAGGTGTACAGCTGCAATTTCAGCGCGTGAGAAACGCCAGGTTTTTGTTTCTTCGAGTCATGGAAAATTGGCATCAGGGGGAGATTTTTTTTACTAGGGGCGCGAACGTTTACATTAGATTTAACAGGGCGGGCCTAACCCATACTCGGAAATTGGACGTGGGATAATTCTGGCCTGCCTGTCCATGGACGGGTATCGATATTCTGAATGTGTCCAAAGCAGGGTCAGGTTAAACTTTTACTCTGTTTTTCTTGACAAAGCAGTCTAATTACCCTGACTTCCAGAGGCCTGATCAGGGGTATGCCGGGCTATGGCTAAAGAGCGGGGTACATGAGGGCAAGGGTCATGGCGTAATGATAGCGCAATGATTACGCTTCACCGAACTGAAACTCTTTCGAACACTTTTGTCACCGCACTAAATCTCTTTGCAGCCCGTGAACACTTGACCTTAAGGTCTCGACCCTGGCTCGTGACCCTGGAAAACCGTCTCATGTACCGTGCTCTAAGGCCGAAAATTCAGTATCGTTGGATAGGCAACTACAGTAACTCGCTGAAAACTCGCAGAGGACGCGCTACATAGCGGCCGTTTCGACGATCGTTTTGCGATCCTCACACTGTAGAAAGAGGGTAACCCGACAGCTACAGATGCCTAGAAATAGTCGTGTACCAGATCGAAGTGGAAGATCACTTTCGAAACAAAACCGGGAATCAATCTCACGTCCAAAACACAATCAATTCTCCTCGACGAAGTACCAGATCATCCCACCCCCAAAAGCCACGAAATCAGAAGCGCTTCGTTAGCTCGCCATTGCGAAAATGTGACGATGCGAATCCTCCTGACTCCCGCCGCACATGCGAAGGTCCAGAGAGGGTTGCTGGGTTTCAAGGATATATTCTGCGAAATGCCTTGTTGTCCAGCTGCAAAGCGATATTTGATATTAGAAGTTGCAGATCTGGAACATGCCTATGTCACGTATGAGATCGATATTGGCGATCGTTATGATTTAGTCAGAATCGAAATCATAAAAAAAACATAGATTAGAATTCTTTGCCACGGTCCTCCAAACCGGACGCAATGTAGCGTGTCCTGAGCAACACTCGAACATTTTCTTGTTGCCAGAGTCAGGAAGGTTTCGTTCGGTTCGGAACGGGGAGGACAGGCTCGGGGATTCGTTTGGGGGAGGCGTGTACACCTGATATGTGTTTTAATCTCAATTCCCTAACTCCACTTTTCACCAAAGACGTTCCATTTCCTCTCCAACTCAATCCAACGTGTTTTTTTCAGTTCTAAATGTGTCAATCAGCTCAAGATTCGAAAAAAAAAAAAAAAAAAAAAAAAAAACCTTTTATACGGTCTTATTTATTTGAAACCATATATAATGCAATGGATGGTAATCTTTGTAGATGCTTTATTGAGTACGTCTGATGTAGTGATTGTGTTGGTTCTGAATCGGCTTAAAGCAAGGATCTCAAAAAGTGCGAATTTTTTTACTTACAACCTCCGTCAACAGGGTTACCCGTTTTGCCGGGCGACTACCCAAAATCCAACCAGAACGCCATTGATTGGCTGTAAGGAATTTCCATTCCTTATCGACTCAGCGGCAACTTGCACGGAAGGACAGCACGAGTGGTCCGAAGAATTCGGAGACGAAGACGAGACAGATTTGCTGTTTGGTGCGACCCACATTCGCACGTGGGCAACGTGGCGCGCAGAGCTTCGCAAGCGGTTTGAGCACGCTCCTGACTCAGACACAGCGCGCGAGACTCTACGCATGTGGAAGCACCTGGGATCTGTGTCCGAATACACCGCGTCATTCTTGGCATTGGTGGATCGATGTGGCTACATGCACGAGTTGGAGAAGGTCGACAGGTACATGGGCGGGCTGAAGCCTGAAATACAGTACCAAATAAAACTGCAACGACATGCGAAGCGGTTACAAGATTTTATCCAACTCGCTGAAGCCGCTGATTCGCTCACGAAGCCGAGGACGAACTTTTACGACGGAGGTCGCCCTCGATAAAAGTACCAGTGCGCCACGATAAAAGGGATGGACGCAGTGGATACAGTGGCGGAAAGTATTGCTCGGATAATTGCCTTAAAACATTTCTCGTACCGGTTTGGTGCCTTTTTTGTTTAGTTATGAATCAAATTTTGGCATTGGCTGTAAAGTAGTACTGTAGTGTATGTGACGGATGCTTGGTTCAGTTTTATATGGGTCGTTTTTTTACCGAGGACGAGATTTCGTTCGTGTGGGTGCATTTGGACAGCTCATGGCAAGCAGCGTACTAGATCTATTTCCTAACCTTGGTTTCTCTACTTACTTGCCCTCGCGACTATCAAGTAGTTAGGAGATAGGCTAGGACCGCTGCGACGATTAGGCCGTCATGAAACCGATAGATGAGGCGCAACGCGCACGGATCAATACCCTGTTGCGGAGGGGGTATAGCACTCGTCGAATCGTTAAACAGCTAGGTGTGGGCAAGAGCACGGTCCACGATTATGGACTTGAAGAGTCTAGCCCTGATGCCATGCGTCCTACGATGCCCTCAGCCAGTCGCCCTTGCTTAGTGACAGAGAGAATTTGCCGCGGCATAGTTCGTTCGATTACTACCGGGGAGGCCAAAACCTCCGCTCACACGGCGAAGATTGTCGAGATGCAGCACGGCATCACGCTGCATCCTAGGACGGTGCGTAATGCTTTGAATAGCAGCGGACTTGTCGCCATCCAGCAGCCCACGAAGTCGCGACTCTCTCGAAAAAATGTACGCGATAGGCTAGAATGGGCCCGTGCCCACGCCGACTGGACGGTTGAGGACTGGAAGCGGGTGATCTGGTCGGATGAGACCAAGATCAATCGGTTTGCTTCTGACGGACGCTCCTATGCCTAGGTTCGCGAAGGTGCTGCCCTCCAAAGCCACCAAATCAAGCAGACCGTCAAACACTCAGAATTCGTAGCCACTCAGAATTCTATGGGGAAGAAGCCAGAGGAGCGACCGGGAAATGGGTCGCGTGAGTAAGTACCGGGTCCCTTACTGACGGGCAGGCTTTTTCGCCCGAGCCACACAGTCCCCACCGGGTCGTGATCCCGATTGCTGCAATCGACCGGACCCCGACGAATAAGGGGGACGAAACTGCTGATCACTCTGTGGTGGTGGAGGGTACAGTCAACAGGGTGTTGCTGAAAATATTCGTGGATGGAGGCGCGAGTCACTGTCTCATACAGCTGGACATGGCTAAAAAATTGGATATCCCCTTACATAAGTGTCTACCTGTTATCGACGCCCGACTAGTGGATGGAACACCGCTGGCTATACGGGAACGAGTGGAGAACGTCAGTTTCCACTGCGGGGAGTACGTAAAATTCCGACTAGGGCTGCTTGCCACTACACTCGACGGATGCGACGTACTACTGGGACGCGATTGGCTACGACACTACAACCCGAAAATCGACTGGACGACGGGCGGCTGCAAAATCAAAATTGAGGTTACCATCAAATTTGCGTCGCCGCTGAAGATTGTCACAAAATCGCCTTCCGAACCCGCTACGGCAGTTACGAATACCTGGTAATGCCCTTTGGTCTCACGAACGCGCCCTCGACATTCC